TGACATGTGGGAATGAAAATCCCCTGGTGATTTTTACACCATCCCTGACTTACACTCCCCATTTTCCAGAGCACTTGCAAGTTTCTCCAGAAAGGCCAGCTTATACGTTTCTTAACAGCAGCGGTTTTGCCATACCCTGCACAGGGACAACACCCTGTACATAGCATGGGCTCCCACCGTGCCTTGCACAGCTCTCACCTTAGTATTCCCAGCTCCCAGGAGGTCCTGCCCTGACTGGAGGACTGCGGCTCAAGGACTGCACAGAGTCTGCTCCCCATCACTCTTCCCTTCCCCCTCCTGCTTGCATCCTTGGCAGAACCAAGCTCCAATGCTTTGCTGAGTTTTCCTGCACTCCAATCTTTAGCTGCCCTGGTAAAAAAAAAAGAAAATGGGGTGGTTATACTGCCATTTTCAGAGGAAAAGCCTTTGCTAGTGTGTGACATGAAAGGACAGAGCAGAAAATGCTGCCCATTAATTTGCTGCTACACAGGACCTATGCTGGAACCGCTGCATCCTTTACGCTCCTCCACTCCACATAGGGCACGCCAACATCATTTCCCTCTAACAGTGGTGACCTTAATCATCCTTAAGGGAAGTATGGGTGATGAGATTGCAGTCACACATTTATAAAAGGCTCCTCTTTGAGCTGAAAAGGGAACGTTACCAGATCCAGTCTTGTTGACCGTGGAGCACTCTCTGAGCAGATGCCCTGAAGTTACACTACCACAGGGTCAAGATTATCTCGTGGCACAAAAGAGGCTGTACAGAGCAGTCTGCAGAAGGACTGAAACACAGTGGATGTCTAGGGGGAGACAAGAAAGCAGCTACACTAACTAGGGCAGTGGCAAAATGTTATCAGCATGGGGAACAGGGGCAGCGTGGCCACCAAGGTCTTCCCTCGCTCGTTGGCTAGCTGGCTCTGTAGCTGTACTGTCACCAGTTACCTACCTGCTCCACACAGGTGGGGACATGGAAACGAGGAGGCATAGCAGTTGATTTTTGAAAGTTATTTTATTTATTTTAATTCCAGATAGGATATGCCAGTTCAGGCTGGCCTTAAATAAGAGAGCCCTGACAGTCTCTGCAGGACAAGAGAGTGCGCGCACAAAGCCAGCCTCGCTCGGACAGACCCACGCTGGTCTGAGCTACACTGCCGTCCCTACCAGTGCCCAGGCCAGCCAGTTTTCTGCACAGGAGGCAAGGGTGAGCAGGCCAAGATGGCACATAACCACCTCCAAATCAGTTTGTCGTACTGCCTGTGATTGTTACTTGTGGTTTACACACCAGAGCACAGTGGAAACCATTGTGGGATCTCCTTGCACAAGCACCACAAGCTTTCATTAAAGCTTAGGATAATGCCCTGATTCCATATGTCCCTCTTGACTGTGGAGAATATGATAACATACATGGGCCCTCCCAGGGGCAGCTTCTCCACCACACTGACCACACTATGAAAACAAAGAACAATCCTTGTGTTCTCGATTAAAATATCTTTTAACCCTTTTGACGCCAACAGAGGTGGCGTGGCAGGTAAGCCATGATTTTGTTACACATGCTGCAGTTTGGTTTAAGTAGGTTTAAGAGGTGGGAAGAAATGGTAAGGATAAGGAAACAAACTTCCTCTCCTGGCTGATTTCTTAACTTTGGAAAGCAACCTAGGTTTAACACATGTTGCAGCAAAAAGAGCTTGACAGAAGATGCTGAAGGTATTACGCTGGGTTGTTAGGCTTACATTCAGCTAACGCAAAGCTTATGCCCACATAAGTGGTGAAACACTGGCCCAGGTTGCCCAGAGAGGTGGTGGATGCCCCATCCCTGGAAACATTCCAGGTCAGGTTGGACGGGGGCTCTGAGCAACCTGATGTAGTTGAAGATGTCCCTGCCCACGGCAGGGGGGTTGGACTAGATGACCTTTAAAGGTCCCTTCCAACCCAAACTATTCTATGATTCTATAATAAACTCTAGATGCAAAAGCTGATGCAAAATGAGGTATTACTTACATTTTCTGACACTTCAAACGTGGGCAGCTCTGAAGAGCTTTTTCTAAAAAGGGCAACAGCAGGTAATGCAACACAATAAATAGCATAGCTGTGTTGTGGTTTAACCTCAGTTGGCAACTGAGCACCACACAGCCGCTCGCTCACTCTCCCCCTCCCCCCGGTGGGATGGGGGAGAGAATTGGAAGAGTAGAAGTGAGAAAAACTTGCGGGTTGAGATAAAAACAGTTTAATAATTGAAATATAATTGTAATAATAATAATAATAATAATAATACACAAAAGCAAGTGATGCACAATGCAATTGCTCACCACCCACCCACCGATGCCCAG